AAAGATAGATGTTGAAATATGTTGTCAACTTGTTATTCCATGCCCTGAAGACTTGGCACTGTCCTTACAAATCATGGCGGTATGGAGGTCATTCAAAATACTAGATGGATTAGTTTTTATTGTGGGGTGTATTCATTTTTGCAACAATTAATCTGAGTAAACCTGAAGATTTTGTAATCAAAGAAAAAAAAAGAAAATTGGATTGCTGCACATAAAAAACGTTTATTGTTGAAAAATCACCATACAAAAAGGTGATCCAAAAAATTGGAAAAAGCCACATCTAGGAATTCCATCAATGAAACCGTATGACCTTTTTCTACAAAATGTCTTGCTTGTTGTCGAAAAAGGTCATACGGTTTCTCAACTCAGATTTCTGCTCATTGATGGAATTTGTAGAAATAGACGTTGAGGTAACAGGGAATTGCAACATACACAACAGGAGGTTCAATGGATCCATCATTTAGATACATTAACCCCTAAAGGGTTAAATTTGGATTTTATCTGTATTTATTTCTTTAAAATAATTCTTTTGTGGTTTTTTCATTTTTTGGCTTTTGTATATACATGTGTGTATATATATATATATATATATATATATATATATATATATATATATTCATTTCTTCTTGGTTTTTCCTTAATATATATATATATATGTACTTTTTATAATAGGTATTTATGCCTACATTCCACATCTTTAATATGGGGATGTTTCTTCCTGACAGAATTTTCACCATTAAACCACCACCTTTATTAGAAGATGTTCATCTGATTTGCATTCAATTTGTGGTTAATTACATAATTGATTCCAATTATGATGTATGTATATATTGATCTAAGTAACATTTTGTATTTCAATATGTTTTCTGATCTGAAGAAGGACGTTAACATAATAGCCCAAAACTGTTTGTTGATCACTATGATGTATGGCTTTGTCCATTTTTTTTTGGATCACCCTTTTGTATGGTGATTTTTCAACAATAAAAGTTTTTTATGTGCAGCAATCCAATTTTCTTTTTTTCTATATAAATGGCCTTTGGGAGTGCCTGATTGCTATACACTGTGATTGATCATTGTTGTGCACTCCACCTCATATTACTGCTATATATTTTTTTTTTTTTACTTTTTACTGTACTGCGCGATTGTTTGCACAGGCATCCAAAATATGCTAGAAACAAACAGTATAGTTAAGGTGGGTACTGTCTGCCTAGTATGTGTCTATTTTGCAATCAATGCTTGAACTATTCAGTAATGTTCACCCTATTACAGATCATTGGCTGGAAGGCAAACCTGTAGCTCCAGTCTTGATGTAGACAGTTACAACATAGCGTCCAAAACCATATTAAAGTGACTCTGTTGTTGGTAAAAGATAAAATAAGCCACCTTGCAAGGAAAACATTCAATACTTATCTATCCCACCACCCACACTGTCAATCTTTGTTCTTGAAGACCTGGTGACTAAACAAAATTTTCAGCATCCAGCAAATTTCCAGGAGTGTCAGATGCCTGGTCCCCCTCCACGTTCTGTAGCTGCAACCAACAGCCCTTTGATTACTATAGGACACAGTAGGGACATAGGGGCAAGCATTTTTTTTTTTTTTCACCTAGTGATAAAGTTGCTTTAAGGCTTAATTTTTAAGACATACTCTATTGGTTTATTTAAAGTCAGCTGTATTTTTCATTGAACCACACTCCTCCCTAATTAATCACAACATTTTCCACCAACTTTTAAAAGGGTAACATGCTACCATGATGTGGTTGGACTTAAGTTTGGCTCTTCTTCTGCTCATTCTCTACATCCTGGGCTGTCCACACACCATCCATTGCCCTACTGACACCGTCCACTGCCCAACTGACAGACACCATCCACTCTCCTACTGACAGCATCCACCGCCCTACAGACATCATCCACACACCGCCCTTTGACCTACTGACACTGTCTGACACAATCCATTGTCCTACTGATACTGTCCACTTACACCATCCACTGCCCTATTGACACTGTCTATTTTAAGTTTTTTTTTGTAAATTTTTATAAAATCAACAATTTGTGGACCAGTTGATTTTATATATTTTACATATTTATTATCCATTTTAGTTTTTTATGCAATACATTTTATTAGAATGAGTAAAATAGTTATTTTAACACATATATTTTTTAATGGATAATATTTAATTTATTACGATGAGAGAGTTTTATTTCTATGTATTTACTGTTCTGATTATACTGACCATATTGATCTGTTTTATACCTTACATGTTACTCTATATTGCTTTGTAATATTTATTTGATGATAATTATGCCACCAAGATCACCAGTCAGATTAATTTCATTTAGCATTCTTTTTCCGGTTTGAATATACGGAATATGCGGGGATTATTGGATTACAACCAATGTATGCATATGACCAGATAATCTGATTATAACGATCCGATTGCATATGCACATAGGGTGGTTCTCTCTGCACATGTGCAGAGTCAAGTAGTCCACGGGATGTTTACACAAAGGTGATATGCTAATTTTGATTATCCACCCCCCATGTTTCCGCAATGTATACATGTTCCAATCCGCTTAATTAAGGTTATTTCGATTTGTGAGTAGATATTTTTCCCTGGTGAACGAAGTGGCTTGTATCTGTTCTTTGAGCACAAAGAAAATGGTGCTGATGTGCGCGCGCATCCCGTCCACATCACTATGGACGGGATGAGACAATTTGGATCTATGGCAAAATGGCGCCGGCATACTGCGCAGGTGCCAAGTAGTCTGCAAAATGGCCGGCGTGAAATGCCCAAATAGAGATAACCAGACATCAGACACTGTATGCAAACCCCCTATGACTATGTGCTAGAGCACGAAACACGTCAGGGAGGAGCTACAGCGTCGTGATGTCACGCCGCCACTGGCGGCCATCTTTAGAAACACATGGTCAGTCTGTTTTTTACTTGTACACCCTACTTTGGAAGCAATAAGTTATCCTGTTAAAACAGTATCACACTATGTGGCATCCTTTTCTTGGGCTCTCTGTGAGTCCAACCATTCACAGAGCCTATTGAGGAGAGAACCTGAGGTGCTGATACCAAGCGAAGGATCCAAAGGGGAGCTGTAACCAGGCTGTCAGGAATGGACTGGCCAGCAATGGTGGGACTCACCTGCCTTTTGATCTGCAGTACCAGGGCTGGCCAGCGGATGCTCCCAGCAATCAGAGACTCAACTTTGCAGCCAGCTAACACCTGGAACTGATTATGCTGGGGTATTTAAGGGATGGCCAGACCCACAGACTCTGCCTTGGTGTTGTGTTTGTCCTGGGCCCTGTATCCTGTTTCTGTACCACGCATCCTGTTTCTGTACCACGCTGCTTGCTACCTGTTCTGATCCCTGGCTTGTGACCCTGACCATCCCTCTGCCTGACCCTCTGTACCACGCTGCTTGCTACCTGTTCTGATCCCTGGCTTGTGACCCTGACCATCCCTCTGCCTGACCCTCTGTACTACGCTGCTTGCTACCTGCTGAACCTGGCCTGTGACCCCGACCAATCTCCGCTTGCTCCCCCTGTACCTACCTGCCCTATTGATATTGACCAGGCCTGCCTGACGACGCTTGCTTGTATGTACTGTTATCTGTGGGTGGTTGGTTTGGTTTGGTTTGGTTGCACTGTATTATGTTTTAGTATTGCACTGCGTTTATGTTTGTATTGTTAGTGTTAATAAATTATATTGTTTATAACATATCTGAGGTCTGCATTTCCCTGCATCAGCCACACACCTCTGGTCACACCTGGGAGCCCTGACATTACACCAAGGCCAATCCTGACCAGAAGTGGCTGCACAGGGAAGCCATCTTGGCTTGTTGCTGGGAAGGATGGATCTGGATGAGGTTGTGTATTTATATCTGCTAGTGTTTGATGACAGGGAGTATGCTTATCAAACTCTGAAGGAGTATCCCAGGGATCAACTACTAGAATGTATACGGCTCGCTCATGTTCTAGTAGATCAGGGCACAGAGTTCTCTGAGGTGCAGCCTTTGATTGAGGTTTGTGCTGAGTTGGTTTCATCTGGTTCCCCCGAATGCAGGGATGAATTTTTGCCACCATTTAGTGCAGACCAGGTAGAGTCCCTGGTGTGGTTATTAGAGGATGATGTGGGTTACTTTCTGGAGCGTTATTCCACATGTTCACCACAGACACTAAGAGATTGTATAAACGCAGTGCAGTCATTGACCAGACAGGCTTTGTGTAAGCTCAGCTTTGTTCAACCCATACTGCAGACATGGACAGACTTGTTGCACCCAGCCTCAGTCAGCTTACAAAAACCCAGTCCTGCTTCTAACTCTACTCCTGTATTCCCACCAGCTCCTCCAGTTACAGCCCAGTATACTTGGCTATCTACCGCATGTCAGTACCCTGTTCCCACTCGCTGCACCTATCCTGCCTTTAACCCTGTAAAAAAAGCCCTCTGTAGCAACTGCTCCCTCTCCTGTTCCATCCTCCAGTTTTTCTCTGTCTCCAGCTGCTCCATTCGTTTGCAGACCTGCGTTTACTTGCAGTGCTCCAGTAGTTAAAACCAGAAAAAAGCGAAAATTCTTTCCAACCAATACCATCCTGCCAGTATCCAAACCGGTGAACCTGCCTTCCGTGACTCAGCCTGAGCCTCTACTCAGCCTGAAGCTCTACTCAGCCTGAAGCCTCTACTCAGCCTGAAGCCTCTACTCAGCCTGAAGCCTCTACTCAGCTGATGCCTCTCTTCAGCCTGATGCTCTCTCTCAGCCTGATGCCTCTCTTCAGCCTGATGCCTCTCTTCAGCCAGCCGGATCAGCCTCTCTTCAGCCGGATGCCTCTCTTCAGCCTGATGCCTCTCTCAGCCTGATGCCTCTCTCAGCCTGAAGCCTCTACTCAGCCTGAAGCCTCTACTCAGCCTGAAGCCTCTACTCAGCCTGATGCCTGCATTCAGCCTGATGCCGCTACTCAGCATGATGAACTGATCCAGCCCGACGATCCTATTAGGCCAGTTGACTCGATGCCCGCTGTTGATCCAGATGATCCGGTACCTGATCCAGTGCCCGCTGTTGTGCCAATTGACTCAGAGCCCGCTGTCATACCTGGTGACCCGGTGCCCACTGCCTTGCCAGATGACGCGGTGCCCGCTGGCAAGCCAAATGACCTGATGCCTGGTGACCCAGTGCCCGCTGTCATACCTGGTGACCCGATGCCCGCTGTCGAGCCAGACAATCCGATACCTGATGACCCGGTGCCCACTGTCGTGCCTGTTGACTCGGAGCCCGACTGTCTTGCCAGACGACTCGGTGCCCGCAGTCTTGCCAGACGACTCGGTGCCCGCAGTCTTGCCAGACGACTCGGTGCCCGCAGTCTTGCCAGACGACTCGGTGCCCGCAGTCTTGCCAGACGACTCGGTGCCCGCTGCTGTTCCGCCAGTTGCCAGACGACTCGGTGCCCGCAGTCTTGCCAGACGACTCGGTGCCCGCAGTCTTGCCAGTTGACTCGATGCCCGCTGTTCCGCCAGACGACTCGGTGCCCGCAGTCTTGCCAGACGACTCGGTGCCCGCAGTCTTGCCAGACGACTCGGTGCCCGCAGTCTTGCCAGACGACTCGGTGCCCGCAGTCTTGCCAGACGACTCGGTGCCCGCAGTCTTGCCAGACGACTCGGTGCCCGCTGTTCCGCCAGTTGGACTCGGTGCCCGCAGTCTTGCCAGACGACTCGGTGCCCGCTGTTCCGCCAGTCGACTCGGTGCCCGCAGTCTTGCCAGACGACTCGGTGCCCGCAGTCTTGCCAGTTGACTCGATGCCCGCTGTTCCGCCAGTTGACTCGGTGCCCGCAGTCTTGCCAGACGACTCGGTGCCCACTGTCGTGCCTGGTGACTCGGTGCCCGCCGCTTCGTCTGGGGGCCTGAGACCTGCTCGCTCCGCCTGAGGGCCCCGAGACCTGTCGCTCCATCTGGTCTTGCCCTGGGGGGCGCCCGCCGCTCCGCCTGAGGGCCCGAGACCTGTCGCTCCATCTGGGGGTCCGGCGCCCGCCGCTCCGCCTGAGGGCCCGAGACCTGTAGCTCCGCCTGGGGGTCCGGCGCCCGCCGCTCCGCCTGGGGGCCCGATGCCTGTCGCCCCGCCTGGGGGCCCGATGCCTGTCGCCCCGCCTGGGGGCCCGAGGCCTGTCGCTCCATCTGGGGGTCCGGCGCCCGCCGCTCCGCCTGAGGGCCCGAGACCTGTCGCTCCATCTGGGGGTCCGGCGCCCGCCGCTCCGCCTGAGGGCCCGAGACCTGTAGCTCCGCCTGGGGGTCCGGCGCCCGCCGCTCCCGCCTGGGGGCCCGAGGCCTGTCGCCCCGCCTGGGGGCCCCGGGCCCTGCCCGCCCGCCTGGGGGCCCGAGGCCTGTCGCCCCGCCCCTGGGGGCCCGAGGCCTGTCGCCCCGCCCGGGGGCCCGGTGCCTGTCGCCCCGCCTGGGGGCCCGGTGCCTGCCGCCCCGCCCGGGGGCCCGGTGCCTGCGCCCCGCCCGGGGGCCCGGTGCCTGCCGCCCCGCCCGGGGGCCCGGTGCCTGCCGCCCCGCCCGGGGGCCCGGTGCTCCGCCTGGTGGCCCGCTGCCTGTGCCGCTTCACCTGGTAGCCCGATGTGCCTCTGCCCGGAGTCCAGCCCGATGTGCCTCTGCCCGATGTGCCTCTGCCCGGTGTGCCTCTGCCCGGAGTCCAGCCCGGTGTGCCTCTGCCCGGAGTACAGCCCGGTGTGCCTCTGCCCAGAGTCCAGCCCGGTGTGCCTCTGCCCGGAGTCCAGCCCGGTGTGCCTCTGCCCGGAGTCCAGCCCGGTGTGCCTCTGCCCGGAGTCCAGCCCGGTGTGCCTCTGCCCGGAGTCCAGCCCGTGTGTGCCTCTGCCCGGAGTCCAGCCCGGTGTGCCTCTGCCCGGAGTCCAGCCCGTGTGTGCCTCTGCCCGGAGTCCAGCCCGATGTGCCTCTGCCCGGAGTCCAGCCTGATGTGCCTCTGCCCGGTGTGCCTCTGCCCGGAGTCCACCCGATGTGCCTCTGCCCGGAGTCCAGCCCGATGTGCCTCTGCCCGGAGTCCAGCCCGATGTGCCTCTGCCCGATGTGCCTCTGCCCCGTGTGCCTCTGCCCGGAGTCCAGCCCGATGTGCCTCTGCCCGGAGTCCAGCCCGATGTGCCTCTGCCCGGAGTCCAGCCCGATGTGCCTCTGCCCGGAGTCCAGCCCGATGTGCCTCTGCCCAGAGTCCAGCCCGATGTGCCTCTGCCCGGAGTCCAGCCCGATGTGCCTCTGCCCGGAGTCCAGCCCGATGTGCCTCTGCCCGCCCGTGTGCCTCTGCCCGGAGTCCAGCCCGATGTGCCTCTGCCCGGTGTACCGCTGCCCGGAGTCCTGCCCGGTGTGCCAGTCTTTGATATCCCGCCAGTTACCAGACCCGGGCGGTGGAACATTTTTCCCAGCTAGGACTGTTTGGAGCGTCCTGAGGCCGCTCCTTGAGGGGGGGGGTACTGTCAGGAATGGACTGGCCAGCAATGGTGGGACTCACCTGCCTTTTGATCTGCAGTACCAGGGCTGGCCAGCGGATGCTCCCAGCAATCAGAGACTCAACTTTGCAGCCAGCTAACACCTGGAACTGATTATGCTGGGGTATTTAAGGGATGGCCAGACCCACAGACTCTGCCTTGGTGTTGTGTTTGTCCTGGGCCCTGTATCCTGTTTCTGTACCACGCATCCTGTTTCTGTACCACGCTGCTTGCTACCTGTTCTGATCCCTGGCTTGTGACCCTGACCATCCCTCTGCCTGACCCTCTGTACCACGCTGCTTGCTACCTGTTCTGATCCCTGGCTTGTGACCCTGACCATCCCTCTGCCTGACCCTCTGTACTACGCTGCTTGCTACCTGCTGAACCTGGCCTGTGACCCCGACCAATCTCCGCTTGCTCCCCCTGTACCTACCTGCCCTATTGATATTGACCCGGCCTGCCTGACGACGCTTGCTTGTATGTACTGTTATCTGTGGGTGGTTGGTTTGGTTTGGTTGCACTGTATTATGTTTTAGTATTGCACTGCGTTTATGTTTGTATTGTTAGTGTTAATAAATTATATTGTTTATAACATATCTGAGTCTGCATTTCCCTGCGTCAGCCACACACCTCTGGTCACACCTGGGAGCCCTGACACAGGCTGTACATACCAGTAGATGATCTTGCTGACCTGATGAGACAGTTGTTTTCTCAAATGCGTGATTATTTTGCGCATCCGGTGAGTGCGCAATTTATCTATTACCAGATTTACCACCTTTAATTGAGGGATGAGATGTTGGAACACCCTTGCTGAGATCTTTTGACGATACCCACGTTCAATATTTGGACTTTCACATATACAGCACTTTAGCCACCTGGAGTGGTTATTTTTAGATTAATTTATACTGGACTCTTGTGTATGATTTTATCACAAACACCTGTGTCACTTTATATTTTATATTTGATGATTTTCTGGTCACTAATTGGCACTAATTGCATTTTGTTATCATTGATATATTGATAATCAAGGATTCACTATTAGTCATTTGCATATACACTTTTAATTTTAAGCACTGCACCCATACTTATTATTGACACTGTCTTGACGCCGTCCACTGCCCTACTGAAACTTCCCACTGATCTACTGACTGACACTGTGCACTTTTAAGGTAGTCTAAGTTTATACATTTACAGTGACATTTGTTTTAATATTTAGTTAGGCCTTGCTAGATAAAAAAAAGGGCATGAAACCCTGTGAGCTTTGATCTCTTTCATATTTTTCAGGTGAATCGCCACCTCTCAAAGGTTGCCTAATCCTTCTTTACATGATGTAACGTTTTATGATGCTCCTACCTCCCTTGGATTTCCCATTGTCTGTTCTTTGCCCTTGTCTGTCATTTGGTCTCCTGCTTGCTCCACTGCATCCTGTTTTTGTTCTCATTTACATTTTGTCATTTTTTTTTGCTTGTTACCTACTTTGTTCACCTGATTAATAGCCCCATAGATATACTTGCTATACCCAGTACCCAGACCCGGGCGGTGGAACATTTTTCCCAGCTAGGACTGTTTGGAGCGTCCTGAGGCCGCTCCTTGAGGGGGGGGTACTGTCAGGAATGGACTGGCCAGCAATGGTGGGACTCACCTGCCTTTTGATCTGCAGTACCAGGGCTGGCCAGCGGATGCTCCCAGCAATCAGAGACTCAACTTTGCAGCCAGCTAACACCTGGAACTGATTATGCTGGGGTATTTAAGGGATGGCCAGACCCACAGACTCTGCCTTGGTGTTGTGTTTGTCCTGGGCCCTGTATCCTGTTTCTGTACCACGCATCCTGTTTCTGTACCACGCTGCTTGCTACCTGTTCTGATCCCTGGCTTGTGACCCTGACCATCCCTCTGCCTGACCCTCTGTACCATGCTGCTTGCTACCTGTTCTGATCCCTGGCTTGTGACCCTGACCATCCCTCTGCCTGACCCTCTGTACTACGCTGCTTGCTACCTGCTGAACCTGGCCTGTGACCCCGACCAATCTCCGCTTGCTCCCCCTGTACCTACCTGCCCTATTGATATTGACCCGGCCTGCCTGACGACGCTTGCTTGTATGTACTGTTATCTGTGGGTGGTTGGTTTGGTTTGGTTTGGTTTGGTTGCACTGTATTATGTTTTAGTATTGCACTGCGTTTATGTTTGTATTGTTAGTGTTAATAAATTATATTGTTTATAACATATCCTAGGTCTGCGTTTCCCTGCGTCAGCCACACACCTCTGGTCACACCTGGGAGCCCTGACACAGGCTGTACATACCAGTAGATGATCTTGCTGACCTGATGAGACAGTTGTTTTCTCAAATGCGTGATTATTTTGCGCATCCGGTGAGTGCGCAATTTATCTATTACCAGATTTACCACCTTTAATTGAGGGATGAGATGTTGGAACACCCTTGCTGAGATCTTTTGACGATACCCACGTTCAATATTTGGACTTTCACATATACAGCACTTTAGCCACCTGGAGTGGTTATTTTTAGATTAATTTATACTGGACTCTTGTGTATGATTTTATCACAAACACCTGTGTCACTTTATATTTTATATTTGATGATTTTCTTCTGGTCACTAATTGGCACTAATTGCATTTTGTTATCATTGATATATTGATAATCAAGGATTCACTATTAGTCATTTGCATATACACTTTTAATTTTAAGCACTGCACCTATACTTATTATTGACACTGTCCATTGACGCCGTCCACTGCCCTACTGAAACTTCCCACTGATCTACTGACTGACACTGTGCACTTTTAAGGTAGTCTAAGTTTATACATTTACAGTGACATTTGTTTTAATATTTAGTTAGGCCTTGCTAGATAAAAAAAAGGGCATGAAACCCTGTGAGCTTTGATCTCTTTCATATTTTTCAGGTGAATCGCCACCTCTCAAAGGTTGCCTAATCCTTCTTTACATGATGTAACGTTTTATGATGCTCCTACCTCCCTTGGATTTCCCATTGTC